GTTCTTTAAGATGCTATACCATGATGCTTTTTTGAAAGAGTTTCATTACCAGAAGCTTTGCTGGGAAGTGAATGAATATCAGCAGAAATTGTGGCCTAAATGGCGAGCTTTTTATACCCACAATTTTTTTGCAAAGCCATGGGCCATTGTTTCTCAGATTGCTGCTGCTATCCTTCTCGTCCTAGCTATCCTTCTCGTCCTAACTTTCCTGCAAACCATTTATTCCATGAAGTGATCAATACTTGTTTTAATACATGTCATATCTTGTTGAGACACAAACAAAAATTGTCATGAGTTAGTGGTATGTAATATTCGTGATATGAGGACTCTTTACTTTCGATGAATCTCTTATGAGGAATTTGGTTTTTTTGGTGAAAAGAGGAAGTAGTATTAAACAGAAGAGTTAAAGTACTCTTATGAGGAATTTGGTTAGAATATAAAGTTTTCTCAATCTCAAAGCTACGCATTTTGTGACACACCATGCAAGCAACATTAACTTTACTAAAGCTCATTTTCTCAATCTGACAGCTACGCATTTTGTGACACACCATGCAAGCAACATTAACTTTACTAAAGCTCACAACAATGCTGGGAAATTGCCTTAACCAATTTACTAAATCAAACATCACCAATTATTTAAAGCTTAACTTTTTAAATTTATTATTCATTTTGAAATTAATCAGAGGAAATTAATTTCGAAGTTAAGAGGAAATTAGTAAATTAATCTCAAGTACTTTAAAACCCGCCCCCATCTCCCCAACCAATGAAGAGCTCGTCAAGTGGCATGGAAAGTAAAAACACATTTCCTTATCTTGCGTTTGTTTCTTGATTTGCAAATAAAAAATCTCCCTTTTTCTCAATACTAACAGTTAGAAATTTCTAAAATTAAAGATTTTAAATTTAATATAAGGTTAATTTACAATAACTTATTCTATTATTATTTAGATAAGTAGCAACTTTAATTTTTTTTAATTATTTAAAACTTAACTTTTCAAATTTATTATTCATTTTAAAATTTTAAGTGAAGGCATAAACATTAGTAATAAAAATGTGTGTAGTATAATTTAAATTTTATTAAATTAAATTAATTATTAGATAAAATCTGATTTATTCTCAGTTATCAAATAATTTATATTTTATAATTTAATAAAATATAAACTATAAAATAAAATTTTCAATTAGTAATGAAAAATATATAATTAATATTACAGGTAATGCGCCCCAACCCCCACACACAGTTTTTCACACATTTACCATTTATAGTCAGCAGAGTGCTCAAGTAAATCCGACTTTCCCTTGTTTCCTCTGAAATTGAAATCCCGACCCGAAGCTCAGACTTGCTGAAATCGGTGGCCCTCTTCCTCAATGGTCCAGCTGCGTATGATGTACTGTCTGTCTAACTCTGAAGAGCGCTGGATGAAGGGTGGCGAGCCCGAAGGAATCAAGAAGCTGAAAAATAGTCATATGATGATGTTTTATGCTGCTTAGGTAAGAAATAATTCCAGACATCATGGGGTTGTTGTCTTGCATATTCAGCTAATTTTCCATGAGAGTAAGAAATGGAATTGGTGAGATTGAAGTGTTAGTTCATTAAGAAATATACTACTTTTTTAGAGCAATTTGTCCTGAATTTTCTTTTCTTTGTTTGCTGATAAAAAGAAAATGTTTTTATCCTTCTTGGATTTTTCAATGTCAGGCTTTTTGTTCAAAAGGCATTTCGAAGCATCCAAAGACGCCGCCAGCTAAGTTGAGAGTCTCTGATTTTCACTTCCAGTCCAAGAGAAAACAGGTAAGGGTTTACTGTTTGTACTAGCAAGAAATATTTTTTTTATAATGAAATGCAGCTGTTTCAAATAGTCGGCCTAACAACAATTGTCCGTCCGTTCCCTCTTAATATTCAT